TTATCTCTATTTTTCTGCTAGAATTTCATTTACTAGCCAATTTATCCAAGCAGGAGAACATAAAACTTAGAGATTACTTTGAAACAAATAGCTATTTAGTGAAATCTCCCATCCACGTCATTGTGACATAAAGTAGTCTGGTGAGTGCTAATAAAACAGACTTGAGTCCAGCCTTTATCATCTAGACCGCAGCTTAAGCCCCCATCTGTCGGGACCCCGGGAACCCACATTCCCCATGTTCCCCAGCAGCCATATCATCTAGTCAAGAATGCCAGACATTCCTGTCTCCTCAGTGATTAAGACTGAGAATTCTCCATCCTGTCAGATGAGCTTTTTATTAGTGTTTCGTAACACTCCCAGGAAAATGCTTCTGATCTTGAAGTGGCAATGACACTGTGCGGCGTGACCCGTGAGACCCTCTTGTCCCCTCTCGAGACCTCTGGCTCAGACAGCAGGCTGTGGGCCTTCCCGCTGTCTGGCTACCACACAGCCTGTCCACTGTAGTATCGCCCCTGGAAAATACACGGGCCTTTGGTTTATTATGGTATTTAGAGATGAAGTTGATGCCACTAGCTGAAATCATCAAATGGAACCACAAAAAAAGAAAAAAAAAAAAAAAAAAAGCAGAACCCAAAGCTTCCAAAACATATTTTCAGAAACCAGAATTTCTGCAAAAAAGGCATGCCTTGGGCATCTCTGATTTTCCCAGCAAGGAATTAGGACATCTTTGCCATGGGCTCCCAGACCTGGGTGATGATACTGTTTGACAGCCTTTTCCAATCTGTTATATTTAAGTTAGTCTGTACCACTTTCCTCACAACCTGTCACCTGTTTTGTTTGTCATTGGTGCAACTGTGTTAGTCCTAATGCTTTGTATAAAGACGCTTGGGGTTGTAGGTAAACACAACAGCTAGAGGTGACTTAAAGAGTAAATAAAACTATTGAGTTTCAGTAGAAAAAAAGTACAAAATTCTACTTGTTTAATAGAAAGGTCTAATCCAAAAAATTTTAATATCAATGAGACTGTGCCATGCATGTGCTTTTATTGGCAATGTATTTGTAATTTATCATTATTTGGAATGTGCAGATCAGGAAAATCAAGCACCAAACTTTTGCCATTTTGTCAGATGGCAAAATCAAGAACCATTTGCCACTTGACATCTCCAAAACCAAGCAGCCAATATGCAGTATACATAAAACTCAAGCCCAGCCCTTGATATTTGAAAACCACTGATTCCCTTGCTCATGCAGCATCTTAAACTATGCTGTTTTAGTTAATTTTTAAAATTATATTTGCTCTCTGATTCATCAAGGAGGAAATCTGTTTGTATTTACTTCTTCAGGCAGTAATATTCAGGGAAAATTTACCTGTGGACTATGTCCTGTATTATTTTTGCTACATAGCAAATTATCCCCAAAAGCACTTTATCTCAATCAGTAATAATTATTTTGAATCTCTCATGCACCAGGACATGAAAGAAAGACTTGTCCCTGCTTTATGATGTTTGAGGGCTCCGCCGAGACACTGAAAGATTGAGGCTTTCAGGGATCCCCTTTTAAGAGGCCTATTTTCCAGGTGAAAAAGCAAGTGCTGGCAATTTTGTCTCTG